AAAAGGAGAGCATTAGGGTTGCAAGGCTGTGTATCCCACCCCTGCAAACCATAACAAGCAGGGAAACCAGCAGCCAAGTCAGATAATACTTCATCTGCCACCCCTCGCTCATGAGTCCCCAGTCCACAGCTCACAGGTTTGTGAGCAACAAAAAGCTTGGGAGACCACCTTGTGCTGCTGAGACCTACAGGAAATTAAAAAGTTAAAGCTGAAGGCCATTAGAGAAAGTAAAGTATGATGCTGCCCACGATTCTTAATACTGAGCGAGTTATTGTGCAGGGTCAGAAAAGGCAGGGGATCACCAGTCAACACACAGTCATCAGCCTGGGTCCCTCCTCCGTGCACAATTTCAGTAACTGCTTCATTGGCCCTTGGATTTTGGCTGGCAATGACAGCTGTGCATGCTGGGACACCTAAGACAGTGCTGGCAATTTTTTTCCATGTTGTATCTGATTTTTGTTGAGATTGGAAAATAGATGGTCCAGTTGGAAATAGTAACTTCAGAACATGTCTTGGGATCGTATTTAGACAAAAAACATGTAAATGGATTATCTGGGGTAGTGATTTCTGAAAGAGTTGTAAATGCTATGGTTATCTGCCTTGGTTTGTGATGCTAATGGCCAATTAAGGCAGGACATCAGTTCTCTGGGATAAATCACCATCCTCCTCACCTGAAAATCCCTTCCCCTACTCTGCATCTGCCACTCTCCCACATCCTCGGGTATCTTTCCCGAACGTTTCACTGCGAAGCTTCCAGGGTGAGCTGCTGAGCTTGGGAAAAGAGTAGCAGCGTTTCAGGGTGGAAGAGCCAGAAGGGATTATGGTGACAGTGCTCTGCAGGAAACTTAGGCTACGGGGGAAAGCCACGGGGTTCTTGTTGGAAACCAGAGAGACACAAGTACATCAGAATATTTCTTAAATGAATTTTACCACATACAAGTTCTGTTTTAATACAACATTCTTCATTGCACTAAATAGAAACTGAGCATGATGCACTCATCAAATCAAAACAAGAAATGAGTTTTAGGTAGGCAGAATGTATTTCTTTAATCAGAAATTTAAGTCAAACATCATGTCTTGCATGCTGTGTCTTAGGAAAATTTTATGAGATTTTATAACAGGCAGGATTTGTGCTTTACTAGTGTTCTCTAATTTCTTAGGATTGTCTTCTTCCTAAACAGGAGCTGACTGCAAAACATATGCAGGCAGCTGAAGAGGGGAAGGTGGGAGAACTTTTGCACCTCTGCAGACAATATATCAATACAATACCCAATCTTCCTTTTCTGCTTTCAAAAATAAACAGATTAATAGTTCTCTACTCCTTATGTGCATTCTGCCATGTGAGAAGAGGAATGTGGAGCCTTTCTCATGTCTCTCCTCCCTGCTCAGGTGGTGGAGCAGGCATTGGGGAAATGCCCTCTCAGCTCCTCCACCACTGTGCTTCATAAAAAATTCTGCTCAAAGGTGCACCAGATGTATTTTATTCCCTCTTATACCCCTCCAGAGTCGAGCTGTAAGCTGGCCTTTTGGTTTTGTCCTCTTTGGAATAGAGTAATTGTCATCTTCTGGAATAAAACATGCAATATAAATGACACATATCTCAGAGAAATAATGATATCTCCAGCAACACAGTGTCCCCTGGCACTGTGTTAGAGCATTAATCCAGAAATGACTCAGACTCCCATTCACTGAGCCACCACCACTGCTCAGTGCCTGCATGCACTGGAGGTTTTGCTCATCACTGTCCATGATTTAGGGAATATCACATTAGAAAATCCATTTTATTTTCTCTGCAACATTTTTGTTACAAGACTGCACCATTCCTTCATTATAACACAGATATCCACTGTTGTTCTGTAACAATAATCTTTTAAACTCACTCTTATTGCTGTATCATGTCCAAGTCCACTCGTTCTGGGGATGTCCTGTCACCAATTTTCTAGTCCTTGGTTTCTTCTAGAAGATTTTGAGCTCAAAACATTACATTTGGAGTTTGCACTCATATGTAGCTCCCTCGAATGCTGCATTGTGGTAAAAAGGATTTCTCCCTGTGGGTGGTTGGTAGCTCCTGTACTGTTCTCTGCCTTGTCCCTTTTCTTTGTTCTGCCACTACTGGTGTAGCTGGAGAAAGCCAGGGCAGAAAAGCAAGCCCAGAATTCTTGCTGGGGAAGAGAAAGCCATCCAAGCTGGAGTCTCCAGCCTAGGAAAACTGTTTCTGCATTTCTGATTTGCAATAGCTGTCCTATGCTCCTGGTGGCTACTCCAGCACTACATCTACTTGTAGGTAATGATGGGAGTGAGTTTGAAAAGGGATTGTTTATTGCAGAACAGTGAATATCTGTGGTGTGTCTATGGTGTATGTTTGATACGAAGCCTTAAACCTCACGTGTGCTGTCTGTCTCTATTACATGTTCTTCCAGTCAATTCTGGCCCAGGAGATCAACATTGTTTTTTAAAGAGGGAATTCCAAGAATTATGGTGGATTTTTTTCAATTTCAGCTTCAATTTGTAATAAGCTCTCAGTTCTCCCTCCTGAACCCACAGTATATCTGATAGGCTGTGATGCTCTGCCTGCCCTTGTGAAAGAAAATGCAAGAAAATATTTTGATTCCACGTTCTGCTTCTCATTTCCAGCTGTGCACTTGCTAAAGAGGATCAGAGCAGTTGTTCTTCCAGTGGTAAATTGTAGCAGATAGTTTGGTGATTTAATTTCTCCCTGGTTTCTATTTATGAAGTAGGAAACATTTTGGGTTTTTTTTAATGAAAATGCTATCTTCTCTTTGAAATTATTTGCTGACTAATTCTTTGTTGGCAGACCTCGGGCAATGTGTTTGCTTTGAACATTACATCGTTGTGAGGAACAGGCTGGTTTTGTCTAGACATGTGACAAACTTCTGCTTTCTGCCTCGCTCACTGACTTTCACTGGCTGTTGCAACTGTCCAGGCTGCAGGTTTTCCAGAAAGACTATGAAATTTTTGAGACTGCACATTGTTGCCTGTTAGCTTGCTTTATCTCAGCTGTCGTTATTTTTTCAATTAGTGATTTCTTCAGGAATTCACCAGCATTAATTGACTGCAGAAATCAAATAGCTGGGCTCAAACCCACCACTGTGAATTAGGAGGTTTTTCCCAAGCTACTGTTTTTGTCTGCTCTCTTGGTTGGAGAAACATTGGAAGCATTTGGATGTAAAAAGCTGGATTGATAGTCATTAAATTTGTGTTATGAGGCCAAGTTTTGCATCCCAAAATGTTCAAGGTTTTCTGAGGCTGGGTGAGTTAGGCCACTGTCCTGCTCTGGGGGCTTTCTTTTACCTTTCACATTCACTCTTGGGAACATCTCCTCAGAGGGAGCAGACCTTTGGCCTCATCAGTAGGGCTGAATTTTCTCTGATAGCTTTTCAAAGTCCTACGCACCCCACAGTGGTCCTGAGCTCTCAGGTCCTGCCAGCATCATTTCTGGTGTCCCACTGTTCTCTCTAGCCAGCTCTGGGATCATCCTACCCTCTGCTTAGCAGGCAATTTTTGTCTCTCCTGCCTCACTCTTCACCTGTCTGTCTTGCATTACTGCAGTGAACAGGGTCATACAAGAAACAGCAAAGGAAATACATCTTTGAAGATCAGAGTGGGGGCTTGAAATCAGGAAAAAAACCCCACAGAATTATCCATTGTTCTAATAGAAATCCAGTCCTTTTCAACCGGAAAGCTGGAGTCAAAGATCCGGGAGTACTCTGTGCAATATCAGACTTCAAATAAACGCCAGGTACCACTGAGAGTGTTGGAAGCATCATCTTTTTTGTTCATTTTTAGCTGAATGTGTTTCACAGCCTTTCAACGCTCTCATCCATTGTGAGGTTCAAAGAGGCTTAAACGCTGTAAAACAGTCATCAAATGCTATAATTAAACTTGCCAGTCATCCAGATTTGACCCAAACTGCCTGTGTCTCAAGATGTTAGTCAGCTGTCTGGGTTAGATTTCAATTGAGCCTTCTAAAAACATGAAAACACCTAGTTCTCAGCATCTTCTGCACAAACTGCAAGCAGGCAAACCACTGTGCTCTTCTGTCAAAGCCCTTGAGCACTTCTAACCTGCCTCAGGCACACTGAAGGGCCATCACCCTGCCCTACACCTGTAGGATCCACACTGTCTTCAGCAACACCTCCCCAGGGACAGCACCAGCCACACCAAACTCTTCCAAAGCTGACCTCCAAGGGCTAAATTCACATTTGCTCTCCTCAAACTTCATGGAAACCTCCAGGCTGACCCATAGAGAAGTACCAAAAAGTTCAAAAATCACAGAAACACAAATTTGGGGCTCAAACTGAAGAGTTACATTGAAATGGAAATTAGCTATATGACATCTATTTTTAGGCTTAAATATGCACATTCTCTTCTTGTTTTCAGTACATGTCCAGTGCTTGAAGGTCACAAATAACTTCTATGCATTGGAAATGGACATGAGTAATAGAGGGAGAGTTG